CACACACACACACACACACACACACACACACTCAGACACACACACACTCATACACAAACACACACACACATACACACATGCACACAAACAAATACGCAGATGCAGACGCTCAGAAGAAGAGAAAAAGAGAGAAGAGAAGAGAAGAGACAGGGAGTGTGTGTGTGTGTGTGTGTGTGTGAGAGAGAGAGAGAGAGAGAGAGAGAGAGAGAGAGAGAGAGAGAGAGAGACTGAGAGGGAGAAGGGTGAAGGGAGTGAAAGATAGACAGGGAAAAATAGAGATGGATAGAGATAGTTAGCTAGATATACAGACAAATAGACAGATATACAGACAGACAAACAGATAGACCAAAAGACAGGCGGAAAGACAGACAAACAAATCGACAAATAAACAGACAAAGCTCAACCTGCGGTATGGTTGACTCCAAACTGGACCTGCCCTGTTCTCTGACTGTCACTTCCTACGTCACATTGTCGTTTGTCATCCCACCATCTGAGGAGTGGTCATCATCATCATCATCATCATCATCATCATCATCATCATCATCATCATTGTTTCCAATTTGTACGAATAATGCACGGAAAATTTATTTGTAAGCGTAAATATTTTATGTACAGAAAAGTGGGAAGACGGAATACCATCAAGAGGCTAGCCCAAGACAGGGATAAGTGGAATGTGTTTGTTTGTGGCCTATACCCTGGGATCCAAGGTGAGAAAGGCAAAGATGATGATAATGAGATGCTTTACGTCCCTGTCGACACGAATTAGAACATGTAGGAGGCGGGCTGCTGCAACTGTGCCTGTCAGGGCCAACCTAGTTCAGAGGGATACAACGTCCCAGCAGACAGAAGGAGACTCTCTATATTGTTATCCTCATATGGCAGTAATTGCCTGTTTGTAACGCCGAAATGCCTAACCACCACACCACAGACAATTGGGTTATTAAAAATATTAATTGCAAATGTATAAGATGGTATAAAGCCCCCACAAATTTAAAAGAAAACGGGAGTAGCAGATGTCTCCGAATTTATACTCTACAAAATATTGAAATGGGTTGGTCACATCGGAATGATAAAGGATTACACACTGATAGAAAGATGCACTGATTAAAGACCAATAACAGGAAAAACGATCAAGAGGAAGACCAATAAGGAAGATGGCAAGATGCCAGTAGATAGAGCAGTCCAGAACAACCAGAATACGGAGAACAGCAAATAGGGGCAAAATGGAGTAAAATTATTCGGAAGGTCACATGCCCCGGTGGACAAACAGCGTCTTGCAAGAAAGAAAGAAAAAAAAAGAAAAAAAAGAAAGATAGAAAGAGAGAAAGAAGAAAGAAGAAAGGAACCAAAGAAATAAAGAAGGAAAGACGGAAAGAAAGTAAAAAGAAAGAAAGAAAAAAGAAAGACAACTAAGATAGAAAGAACGAAAGAAGGAGAAAGAAAAGAAAGAAAGCAAGCAAGCAAAGAGAGAATTGTAAATATTTTAAACCATCAGCAGCAGAAAACTGCCACTGGTCCACTGACTTTTTTTTGAGCTTGGCCATAAAGCCATCCTCCTTCATCTTGAGCAGAGCGAAGTTGATGTTACTCTTGAAGGGAGCCCCGGCCACCATGCCTATCCCATGCTCCTGTGGAGGGGAGAGGGAAAGATTGTTTCAGAGTTTTACGCCCCCAGCAACATTTATTTAGATTTTTCCAAAAAGGTGAGCAAGCGAGGGAGCTAGCGAACAGTAGGGAGTGACAGGGTGTGTGTGTGTGTGTGTGTGTGTGTGTGTGTGTGTGTG